GTTCTGAGGTTCGTCACATGCCACTTCTGGTCCGGACGGAATTCTAAAAGCTATTTAACTAGAGCATGACCAAAGAAAAAGAGGGCAAAATGAGACCTGATGATACGAAAAACAGTTCCGATCTCATAATACATTTCCAGAAAATTTAATAAAATGCCCCCTCCCACCCTTCACCTTCACCAACACCACCGGTAATACCCCAATATATGCCAATAGATACGTGAAATAAGACAGTGATATTAGAACCAGTCCTCTCTAATACCATCTCGAATTAATTCCAAACTTTTCTGTTAAGAATCTTTCGCTTAGAATGCCCCAGGACTTTGTAGAGGGGAGCCCGAATCGGTATTCCAAATGACGAAACAAGAATGACAAAATGTCCAATTCACCTATCAAGGGATATATGGGGTATAGTAATTACCGTGATTCCAAAGACCTCTCGGGATTCCTTTTTCATGCAACCAATCAATCCCACACTAAATAACTCCCCCCCCCCTAGGGATACTAACAACCCACAGGTACCATGCAAAGCACTACCCTATTAACGACCGCCTATGAGTGCATCGCCCTAGCAATTACTGCGCGAACCAAGTCACTCCTGTATCGCCCAAGGCTCCCAGTGGGTCCGCCACATTTTTGGGTAAACATGGATTCTTATTTGGACATGGATTGGACCAAGTCTCCCTGGTTCGGCCATATCACTCATCCTTGGGTTGGGTCCGGTTCAGGTGTGTGCAACCGGACTGCCTGACGGACACGGTGAATTTTTCCAGCTTAATTTTTGTAGCTTGGGGGTGTTTTTCCGGCAGGATTATTGCTGCCACCATGGGTTACAATAATCTACAATAATCTACGCCAATGGAATTGAGAAGCTCCATCCGCTGAGAACAAATTGATGCTGGAAAATCAACTAGATCAAGATATTTTATACGAGACGCCAAGAACATATAGCTTTAGTGTGCTCGAGCCGTCATTCGTTCAGAATCATTCCAAAGTTCAATACATGATAATCCATTCTACGTATATCAAGCGTTCCCAGCTCTGCGGACCCGACCGTGAGGATGACGCAAAATCCAATGACAGAGATTTCCAGCCGGCAGGAGGAGCAAGGAGAAGGATGAAGTAGAAAATCGGCTCTGGGCGCGGATAGATCCCGGAAGCACAGGCGATCCGTCAGCAATGACCAAGAGCATCAGCACGATACTACAGGAGCAGCGAGTGAGAACTAATGATTGAAAAATCCTCTTCGGTATGACAAAGTTGATATCATTGAAAGATGATAAACTGTCAGCCCTGCTAGCGCGGGTTATTAGTAAAATTGTTGATCCGTTTATTCACATCCATTTATTCACATCCAGCCAGCAGCCAGAGAAGTGCCAGCAACGGGGGGGCATCGAATTCTTCCTTTAACCATTAGGTGCAATTGCCATCCTCTTGATTTCGGTAACGCCATCCGAGCGAGAGCTCGTCTCTAGTACTGTGCGCTGCCCCCTCCCCACCACCAGATCTCAGGGTCGCAACAAATCATTCGCACATACTCCCAGCTCCTCCCAGCATACCCACCAAAGCACAGCTGTCTTTTCCAAGAAAAAAACAAGACAAAAGAATAGAAAGGGAACAAGAAGGAAACCATCCGGGAAAACATCCACCCTAGCAGCTAATATATTGTACATACACCTCGCAAACCAAACCAGCAAGTTTATATATCCGCGCCCCCAACCGCTAAAAATGCCCCAGAAATAAAGGAAAGAGGAGAGAGAGAAAGAGAGAAAGAGAGAAAGAAAGCTATACATTACCCGCGCCGCAAGGTCCAAGTGCTAATGGAAGGAACGAAGGAAAGTGGAGGGTTGTCTATCGGACAGAGGCGAACCTCCTCTGGAAAGTAGTGGGCGTGTATATCTTCGTCCATGGTTTTTGCGTAGTGGCAGGAGTGGTGTTGTCAGCGCCAGAGCCAGAGCCAGAGCCAGAACCCCAGGTAGTGGAGCCGCCTGTTCCAGTGCCAGCGCCACTCCCCTCACTTCCCCCCACTGCGCAGCTAGAGCTCGTACTCTTGTATCCGGCGCTAGCCTTAGTCTTTGTCCCGGTCATTGGGAAGGTCAATGTTCTTAGAGGCGGGACGACCTCTTCTTCGGTCGTAGGGAACATGGGGCCGTTCGCTGGGTCTGTGGTTTTGGCTCCTCCACTACCCCCGCCTGCAATAGAAGTGGCAGCAGCGCCCCCAGCCGTAGTTTTCCCCTTAGAAATTCTAGTGGTAGTAGAAGGCGTTGACGAGGACACAACTATGGATTCGCTCCTCGTCACAATTGAGCTTCCATCACCACCACTACCACCGCCACCATTACCACTGCCAGTTCCCTGGCCTGAATTGCCACTCCCGCTGCCGGTACTTTTCCCCTTCCCCGGACCAACAAAGCACGTCCCGCCGGTTGGCGGTCCAAACGGAATTCCGGGAACCTCCTTGATGGTGATGAAGGGCCCGGGATTGGGGTACACCAGCGCGGACCCAACCTTGCTCCTACACTCACCCGTCTTGATGCGGCCCGGGAGGTTCATATCCCCGACCCACATGTCGTCGTAATCCTCCAGCGTGCTATAGCCCGATCCGGTAATCCTGACGGCGGCGCAGTTCATGTAGTACTCGTCACGGTTGCCTGTTACTGCTGTCCAACTCCTTTTGCGGGCGGGTCAGCACTTGGTAGAGATAGAGGGGAGGGAAGGGGGGGAGGAAGAGTATCGCACCAAGCAAAAAGACAATCTCCTGACTTTGCTTCCTTCGGTATGTCGAATTCGAACTTCTGGTTTGGCCCGGCAATGTTGCTATTGTACGGCACATCCCGAGGGCATCCTCCTTGATAGGTGTGCAGGACTTTCCAGGTAGCGCCATTATCGTAACTGAGGGAAGCTTGACAGCTCCCGCCGCTGTGAGCTGCCATTGCGCCTTCACCGCCGCCGGCTCCGTTAGGAACTAGTCTACCTAAAATAAGCATGCGCTAAGGAAGACTGATGAGGAGGAAACGAACTCAAAGTAAGCACGGGATCCAGCAGCCCATGTTACTTTCGGAGTCTTGTCGACCGAAGGCTTCGAGTGCAGCCCCTTGCAAGGAAAGTCCGACCCCGTGCCCGATAGAGGACCGTTGTAGGCATTGCCGCTAGCGTCGGTCGCCGTCGGGCCGTCGAGGGGTGGTGGTGTTTTCATCCGGGCATGGCTAGAGACTTGTGGGGTGGATATCAGGAGGAGGAGGATGAGGAGTGGGGGAGGGAGGAAGTTCCGCGAGAACATTTCTGGGAAGAAAAAGAATGGCAAAACTAGTGCCAGTAGGTTACCAGAAGAATGCTTGGAGGAATGTGTGAGCGAGTGAGTGAGTGTGGAGAGAATGAATTGAAGGAGGAGCAGGAGGATGAAGATATACCATGCTCTTGATGGCTGGGGAGATAGAGAAAAATCTTCTGGAATGAACGTTATCTTTCGCTTTCAACGAGCGGTTATTGTTTTCATACTCGTGTTCATGGCGAACCAATGGATTAACGACCTTTTGAATGCAGAACGGGTACCTGTTTCACAAGCGAAACCGTAGAAAAAGAGGCGTTCACCGTTCGCTCGTTGCATTCCTTCTCCTCCAGTCAGAGACGAACATGTTGCCAAGTTCCGGCACAGTTCGAGTCTCATTATTCATAAACACTCACTACTCTCTCCGTTGCGAAACGGATCTAATCACCAATCGATTCAGAATTGAATGGCAGGTAGGTACCGTGATTGCTAGCTACTTTTTTCCAACAGCAACACCACTGCGAGGTCCGAAAAGTAAGAAAACATTCACCCCCCCTTCCCCTTACCTTAAAATGTACATTCCAAACGCTCCACCACATCATCATCAACCAACCCACAATTGTATTCCACCACTTGTTCCCACCGCTTCAATAGTTCCTCCTCTCCCCACCCTCCCAACCCCCTTCGTGCCATCAACCCGTCTAGTAATCGGCCAGCCGCTAGCAACAGTATTGACACCTTCGCCGCCAATAGCGATCCTGCCAGCAACAGTAGATGCTGTCAACACCCCCTCAAAATCCGCCGGATACTTCACGTTGACGTTCCCGCAAATGGCCTCGTGTTTCGCGAATAATCCTAACCTGCCGGCCCCTAGCCCCCTCTTGAACCTTAGCTCTGTGCTGCCCTGCGAGGACACGGTGCTGAGCTGTGCGTTACGAGCGCCTGTCGGAATGATGGTGGAGCTTATGCTCCCGCTAGTGGTCCTTAGTGAGAGCGCGTGGCCAAGGAGGTATTGGCCCCTGATGCGCCCAGCTGTTGTGTTAACTTCAGTCTCGTAAGTCCTCCGTGGGAGGTTAGTGTCGGAGAATGAGGTATCTATGTGGCCAGAGATTGTGGTGGCTCTGTAGCTCGCTATATCGTCCGTATGTTTATGTTCTAGGGGGAAGACGCTAGATTTTATCGCTCCACTATATTATATCATTGGTCAATGATTAAGGTTGGAGTATAGATATGGGAGTTGGGGTTTGGGGGTGGGGAGCAGTACGAAGCAGCATACAACTCAATCGATTTCAACAAACCAAAATGGCCATTAATTGAGCCGCTAATAGTGGAAATTTTAAGCTCCGATGCCTCTACCCCAAAGGAATTATTAAGTGTTATGTCGCCAGCGACCGTCTTCAACTCAAGCAACTCAGTCACCAAGTCACAGCTCGGCTCAACCGTGATTCCCAGAGTCTCGGTATAAACCCCAGCACCCCGGATATGGGGGTTAGTTAGCGGAATAGAAATAGTAGCGGCAATAGTGAGACAGGATAACGTCGACCAAGATCCTTGTGGCTTTGTCTGTTCAAGAATTCATCAGTATCACCGTGTTGCCCTACCCATGCATAGCACAGCCCACCAGCTGAACTGGAAAACGGGGGAGATGGCTGAACCACGGTACCATACCCTGATAACCACTCCATCCGTGACAGCCTGGATTTCAATCATACTCTGCACGTCCCGGTGGCTCATCTTCATGTCCAAGTCTATTATCACATCCCCGTTCCGTCCCCCCCGCGGAGTGTAGGGCTTGATTCTGACGTTCCCCTTAACCGTAAGCGGTGAGTTTGGGAGCTGCTCCTGGCGGAAGGTCAGCCCCCAGGGGCTCTGAAAGGTCCATCTGTGCTCCCCCTGGAAGGGTATCATGGTGGGGCAGTGGAAACCCTGGTTCCCATCAACATCGTCAGCTTTCCCCTCAAAAGAAAAAGCAATCATAAGGACAACATTACCAGAAGTCGACAGATTCTTGGGGAGATTATGCAAGCGACAACAAACGATAAACAGCCCGAACCTAGCAATAATTTCGGCCGTGATTTTCGTACTGTATCATAAATTTATGAGGTTTGAATATGGTGATGGTAGTGATGGTAGTGATGGTGATGGTTGTGTAAACTGATAGTATTTTGGGGGGGGGCCGGCGCTATTAATGAGCACTACCCGTACCACACCCAACAAAAACATACTACGGGCGTATCAGAGCCCCATAGAAACCTATGACCCTTGTTTTAGCCTTTGGTCACCCCGGACTTTTTGAATTTCGCCACAACATATGTAATGACAAACTAAGGGTTTTAGTCAAACGTAAAGCCACGGGTCCCGTCTGTTCCCCATGATTAATTAGAACGCCAAAGACCCCAGCCATAATGGCAGTTTATGGATATCATGCTCATTCAAAGTACACATTATTTTTGCAGGTGGAGAGATACTGGCTAGACCAGCACTTCAGAACCCTTTTTGCTTGACCTCATCATTGGTAATCCAATATCCTGATATGTACCGATCTGGCGTCTATCAACAAAACATACGACGCCTTGTGTCCTGGCGTCGACCAGACACGCCACTCCAAGGCAAGGGTGGAGTTTTACCGCAATCCTGTGTCTGTGATCGGGGTCAAAATGAAGATTTTGGGCGGCAACCGGACGCGCTCTAACTTACTTGTAGTCTACTGAGTACAGTATCGTACTCGTACTTGTATTCCAAGCAGGTTCGGGGGAAGGAACATTCATAGCCGAGATTAGGCAGGGTAACCCACACCGTAAGCACTGCACTTGTATGATACCATGTTTGAGTGTTTGTCCACTGTTAAGAGAACAGATTCATCCGGAGAAGTCGATTCACACGCCCTCCCGGCTGGGCGATGGTAGAGAAACACGCGTAATCCACGATATGGTGAAAGTGCGATCATCCTATCAGACCGGCACTGTAAATCTGTGTTGTCAAACTACTGTACCACTGACTTACTCTTCCATCTTTTATGACCCACTTGCGACTCGAACGGTCGAAGATGGGGGCCTAGACGATAATCAATTGGACATTCTGTTTCCCTTCCCTATTTCGAGCATATCACGGTGCTCGGAAAAGATGAGCGGCTTTAGTCCACCTCTGTTGGCTCATTCCAGAACAGTGCAGTTCCACGAATCCGACCGAGCGGGTAGTGCGGGCAGTCTACCGATATGTCCTCGTACCGTACTCGAGTATGATATGTGGATTCTGATATGTGAATTCAATGATATGGACTCCTCGCCCTGTTCGCTGCTACCAGCTGCGGGAGAAAGGCATTGTGTGAGTACCAGTATTCGTTTTGTCCAGGCTCTGGTGGCAGTCAAATTCTGAAAGAGTACCTCCTATCATACAACCATAAAGTACCGTACTCATGTTGTTAGCTCGGAGTGCACCATAACTGCGCGACCTCACGTCATTAATCGACAAACGCTCAATTACCCAAAAAGACCCGAATGGAAAATCACCACCATTCCACTACCGGTATCCTAACATCCTAGCGATGATGGTGGCCTGGAAACAAGAAACTTTGAGATCACCAACCTCGCAATGTGTGCCCCCCAGAACCGTGACCTTCACCATGCATGTCTCAGAGCCATGGCTCATCCAACTAAACAAATCCGCCCACCTTCCCCCAATCAGAGCCGTGAGTTGTTGGACCCGAACGTATCACAAGTGCGATCGTTCGCGCGCATGCCAGCCAACCGATTCCAGTGAAAACTCGTGAATACCCACCATCTCTTAGAAGGCGGCCGATCTCTGCAATCGGATATAAAAGGCGTCCAGGATGAACAGGCCTCCCCCAGAGGCGGTACACGAGTAACTTGGGCGAGCTGGATCCCGTCAACCGATATTTAATAACCCAGCATTATTGTAACCTCTTCCCCAAATGCTAGCGCAGTGCTTGTACTGGTGCTTGTACGATACTGGTACAAGAGTCATGTGCCAAGACGGTGAAGTTCCCGTTCTAGAACAGCGGAGAAATGGCACCAAACTTGAGCCATAGGGTGAGTCAAAAGAGGGTAAAACCACAGCCCCACTACCAATGAGAGGCAGTACTCGAGTAAGTGATTACTAGTCTACCTGTATAAGTACTAGTACAATCTCCCAGCATATTTTCGTTCGCTACCATGCTCTGCTAAGCCTCTTGTGGTTTAGTACAGTTTCCCTTGCCCAGACAACGGATTTAACTAGTGCTGTATCATAGTAGTGCGGCGTTAGAAGCTAGCGGAGAATCGCACATCTACGGCAAAACGCCTGAGAATTACAAGTCAATGACAAAGAGCCTCACGGCTATCAAGTACTCGAGTATTCTCCTGCCCTCACGAACTGCGGCCGCCCAGAGTTCGCGGTTCCAACTTTTCTTCCCCATTTTTGGTTAGGCTAGGCGTCGTCATTCTATCATAACTGGTATTTGCGATTTGCGATCATACACCACCACCGCCGAGAAGCCTGGAAGCATCCACTTTTGTCCAGAATATCAGTTGACTATCATATTGCGCAGCACCCTCATCACCCTCATTACCGCAGGTTCTATCCTCAAGGCATACCGTACTCGAATAGCTTACTCGAGTAATAGCTTAGGCCACAGGTAGAGCATCAGGCGCCGCCATCACCTGCACTACCGTACCAGTACCGGTACCCATATACCGGTATCCATATTGCAAAGGTTCATAATTTTCTACGCCACCGCAATACTGTACCACTCACCCACCACAACACCATCCCCGCCCCCAAGGCAGGTTTCAGGCGCGGCGCCATGCCTGAGCCGCACGGTAATCACGACTGACAGCACCGGTACGATACCGGTACTCTGGTCCAGGAAACAAGTCCCGAGAGCTTACTCTGTGCTGATGGCGTCATGGACAAACATGACATTGGAAACACCACAGCACGAGTACATAGTACAGTGCAGTCTGGTACTGGTACTGTACTCGGGTACGGCGATGCTAGGTGCGAATCCATTCACTCACCCGCTGTATTGTGAGTATGGGTGTGGCTGATAGATATATCCGTCGCGTGCCTTATATAGGCACACTCCGATAAGAAGGTTCACCAAAATTTTCTTATCCGGCTTCGCGTGACGGATAGACTAAGTATATCTATCGGCCGCACCTGAACATACCATCAATCCCCGAGGCACAGTTGCTCTGCTACGCCTAGCCTACCCGCACTTGTGCCCTGCGAACACGCTGTTGTACTGTGCGAGTACACTATCACAATCGGAACACTCGCTCTGTCAATCCTGTGACCTATCCACCGCAGCAGAATGTCCACCCACCATACAAGCACTGTACAAGGAGAAGCACCCTAGCGCTAACTTAGCCACGCGGTGATAGGAATTGGCAACTGATACAGTACCCTCCACCGACACACCCAGGCGACCATAACCTCGAAGCACTCACTCAATCCCCCCAAAACTGCACTACGGTACATCGCCGTATCCCATCCTGCTCTCAAGGTACACCACAGACACAAAATATCCACTATGTTCACAGCCCCCCACCCCTCACTTTCATATCTACGGTACCGGTAGTCCACAGGTGCTGTGCTGATACGGCGTGCGGTACTCGAGTAACCTCAGGCTACCGTTTTTTAGCTAATTAAACCTCTATTCCCTGTATAAGGCAGCATAGCCTTTGGATATGACACCGCTAGGTAAGTAAAGCTTGGAGATATTAAATAGAGCATTTGCGCAATTAGATTTTGAAGGGCTGGGCAGAGGGAGGGTCTGGTGGGTGGCGCCTGGCCACCCGAATTGTTCATTCATAGCTCAAGCACCTGAACCTAGGTCCCAATTCCGTTCCAGCGCCTCCCGCAAGGCGCCCTTGGAACTCGTTGCCAAAGGCTCTAATACCAAGACCTGGGATCGTTGATTCATTATCGGTACAAGTACGGTAGACTCCGGGATCTACTCGTAGAGAGTGGAGGTGAAGGATGAATGAATGAATGAGCCATTATGCAGTCATATGGGTGGGGTGCAGACATGGCATGATATGGCATTATCAATCCCGAAAAGAGCGTTAGAAGAAATACTCGAGTAGAGGGGCTTAACTGCCCCGTGCAAAGTGGTGACTGTGCCGTCGCTGGGGGCAACGAGCCGATTCACCATGGTAACGCCGCTAGATAGTTCTGGTGTTTATTTTTTTGATCGGAAGTACAGGATATGGGAAACGGGGTTGATCAGTAGGGTACGATATCTGTAACCAAATAGCCCATACAAGTTAGCGTGATTAGATACCAAGAAACCCGCCACAGTAAAATTCCCGGCCCTTATCAACAATCTTCAAATCGCACCGGTCCGATGAGAATTGACATTTCATTTGCCAGGGTTAGTAAACTTGGTTTAGCACGGGTTGGCCAAACCCACGAGATCTGTACGAGTATTTCCTTGGGAAATAACTCCGAATTTTAGCACAAAATGCTGAGGTGAGAGGACGGCGCGGCTAAACCCCTTTACCGTAATTCAGCGCGGGCTTGAAAAACTCCTATGCAAGTAACTCAGTGGTAGACCATCCCCAGCCGAAGGACTTTTAGTGTTTTAGAGTATGATACGAGTATCATACATACGAGTGCTTAGAGCGCCTTCCTGCCCACAAAAACCGCATCTTCAACTCAACCAGGACTCAATTAAATTACTCTAGTCAGTGCTAGAACCCTCTTCCCTCCTCCCTAACCTAACCACGAACCTTACCCCTCCCGGTCAGAGCAACCAATCCGAGCATCCCATAATTTACTCGCGCCAAGGTTGTGACATGTCGTCACAACCCCCGGCTATGATACTTCGTTTTCTCGCAAACGGGGACACTCGTACTGATAATGGCGTTGAGAGGGAGGGAGAGAGAGAACTTTGAGATGGCCGGAGAATACCTGGCATGATAGACTGAGCAAAACCGACAAAATGTCATTGGTTGGTTGTGTTCGTAAGAACTCATGAGCACTTAAATTACGCGTCCCTTATAAATCGACGGATGAGTGAACCCGCCAGGCATCTCTTCGCGGGGGGATACAAGTACGGATACAGTACTGTACAGTACACCGCATCGCTAACTCCACCCATCATCCGGGGGAAGTTATCGGACATGTTGGTACTTGTACGTACGGGGAAGTTCTTTTCGGCCGGCCCGCGGCAAACAGCTGTGTGGAGCCGCACTATCATAATACTGTATCGGTACTGTACTCGTACTCGAGCACCTTGGTTGATGTTGCAGGTGGCGAGGCGGATGGTGACCATACCGGTATCCCAAGAAGCGTGGTTGGATCTTCATACCGGTACGATATGTTCCACAAGTGGACAGCGTGCAATTCTCCGCAAAAATAATCACTAACTGGAAACAGTACGAGTAAGGACATTATCTCCCAACCTCAAGATTTGGCATGCTTTTGATTTCAAATTCCGCCAAGACATAGTTCCCCACCCCCCCCAAAAAAAAAAAGTCTTGGCGCGATTCTGAGGAAAATTGTTCTGTCTTGCTATGATAATACAAACTCTTCAGAGAATTTAAATTCATTTGAGGTTACATTACAATGGACGAGTCAAGTAGTCTCTAACATTACACCTTTTCTGAACAACTCATCCTATTTTTGATTTAGGTATTGGTGTTGGAATAGGTGCGCGGAATTGGACATTTTTGGCGTAAAATCGCTGGTACAGTACCGCCACGTTCACCCTCCTCGACCCCTCGACCCCGCTTTGTATGATATCATAACTTGGGGCCAATCCTCATATGTTCTCACTCGTTCTACCTATAAAAAATTTAACAGAGCTATTTCAATGCTTTAAAGACTCAATCGATATCCCACTCGACTTTATCATGTACAGTACTGTACTCCGGGACAAACCTCGCCATTCCTACCTCAATTAGACAACCGCTACCGTGTTATGTACAGTACGATGCGTTAACTATCTCAAAAAAAATGGGCTTTCGAACACGCCAAATATTGACTGCAAGGGAACTCTATTTTCGAGTTGTAACCGCCAAGAATCTCTGAAATATTCATGATATCCAAAACACAATTGCCCCAGATTTAGAATGGAGCAAAAAATAACGAAATTCCATACATGATCAAGTTACTCCCAAACTCCCGTCTCTTCCTCCCCGAGCGTAGATGGACTCGAACCAACTCATGCATACCGTATCGTCGTCGTCTATACATACATACAGAAAAAAGGAAACTCAAATTCAAACTCCGTGCTCAGTGGTATGTTATGGAAAAAACAGACAGAAAATAGAAACTCCGGGTATACTAAGTTGAAGGGATGACGTGATGATAGAGAGATTCCCAATGAAATAAACAAAGATAAGGAAAACTATGAAAATAAAAATCAAGCGGCGGTCGGAACATGTACAGATCTCAATACCTTTCCGGCTTCTTCCCGTCCCATAGACTCCACTACTAGGGCACGTGCTAGACTCCCACCTCGAAGGCGGCGCATGCCTTCTTCAATTTTCCATCCCTCTTCTTCGTCCACTAGGAATACGTATCGGGTGCCTTCTCCGTCCCGGATGTTGGCACGTATGACATGTGTTCCCCCCAGAAGGCCTCCACCACGCTTCAACTGGAAACAGTCCCTATAGCAACATCGCTGGATACCATCGACAATGTTATCCATTTCCTCCTCGGTTGGGCCGCCCTTGTCTGTAGAGGAGCTCTGGTTGAAGAGCCGGCGTACCGGATTGGAGGGTTTCTCTTTCAACGTTGAGGGAGCTGGCGGGGCAACATAACACGGACAGAATATCTCAATAAGTCTGACTGTCCATGCTTTGATATCCCATTCGCGCTGTGCCTGGTTTCGTACAGCATCGTCGATGAATAGCCCCTCAGTGGTCATCTTCAAAATTAAACCTTCACTGAGCCCACCGTGACCTGGAATGAGCGTCGATTGTGGCTTCAACGGTTGTGAAGCCGTAAACGTGAATACCGCCTTCAGAACAATCTTGGATGGATCAGAATTGGAATAGGGCTGCCGTGGCAGCGGGCGGGGAGATGTAGTTGCTGATGAAGTTGAGGAATGTGGAGGCGGAGGAGGGGGCGGGGGAGTGCGTGATTTCCGGGTTGATGTCGACGAAGACTCAGAGGACAGCACTCGGTGAGGTGGAGGTACTGGGGGCAGCGAATCGTGGTGCTCATGGAACGACTTTTTCCTAGGTGGCACAGGGGTGGTCGGCTTTGCAGGGGAAGGTGGGAGGTTAGTAGTATCCGACATGGGCCTTCTGTTAGACGAAGGGGGTGTTTGGTATGCAGCTTTCGATGGGGAATGAGAACCTGCTCTCTTGGGCGTTGAGGGCAACCGTTCTCGTTCCCAGCTAGCCCGTTCAGACCGTTCTCTAGTGAGTCTTTGCTGGCGATGCTGCTGTTGACGTTCCCATTCCGCACGTCCCATGCGTTCATTCTCAACCTTCTGCCGTTCATGCTCCTTTTCCTGCCTCTCTCTTTCTGCCTTAAGCATCTCAATCCTTTCTCGCTCCTCCTTCTCAAGACGCTCCCGTTCAACAGCCTTTGCAGCCGCCTTTTCCCTTTGCAGCTTCAGTCTTTCGGCAGCGGCTCGCTGTTTGGCCTCCTTCTCCTCCCTCTCCTTCTCCACATGCTCTCGCTCTAAGCGTTCCCTCTTCTCCTTCTCCCGCTTCTCGTTCTCGACCTGGATTCTACTAGCCTCTACCTCCGCCATCAACTCACGTCGAAACTTTTCACTCTCCTCGTTCTCCTTTCGCACTCGCTCCGCTGCTTCCCTTGCTAGCCTCTCCCTCTCCTTCTCCAACCTCTTCTCCTCTTCCCTCAAGGCTGCCTCTTGCTGCCTTTCGGCTTCCTCTCGTTGCAGGCGATCTTGTTCAAGCTTCTCCCGTATTGCCCTTTCCTTCTCTTTGACCATTTTATAGTGGTCGGAGTTCTCTCTCTCCTCTTGTTCTCGTCGAGCCTTTTCCTCAGCCAGCTTCCGCTCTTTTTCCTCGGCTCGTTGCTTAGCGAGTCTCTCCTTCTCTGCCCGTACCCGGTGAGTAGCCTCTTTCGCCCGCCGTTCCCGCTCCTCCTTCTCTTTGGCTATTCGTTCCTGTTCGATACGCTCCTTCTCGAGGCGTTCCTTCTCAATACGGTCTCGCTTCTCTCGTTCCTTGGCTATCCGTTCTTGCTCGAGTTGGTCCTTATCAAGTTTAGCTCGCTCTTTTTGTTCTCTCTCCTGGCGGAGGCGTTCAGCGGCTTCTTTAGTTATACGCTCCTTCTCCTTAGCTTCCCGGGCGGCTTTGGCGAGCTTCATCTTTTCTTGACGCTCTTTCTCCTGTTTTTCTTTCTCTATGCGTTCCCGTTCGAGACGCTCCCTCTCGAGCCTCTCACGTTCCTGTCGTTCTCGTTCGAGACGCTCGTTCTCTATTCGCTCCCTCTCGAGGCGTTCTTCTACCTCTCGCTGCTGCCGCTCCCGCTCTCGTCGTTCTTTCTCTAGCCGAATCTTCTCTCGTCGATCCTTGACCCATTGTTCCTTCTCCCGACGTTCTTGCTCGACTCGTTCCTTCTGTAATCGCTCGTTCTCGATCCGCTCCTTTTCTCGTCGTTCTCCGTCAAGGCGTTCTTGCTCTATTCGTTCCCTCTCTTGCTCCTCCTGGAGAAGCTTTTCCTTAACCAGCCATTCCTTTTCTAGCTTCTCTCTTTTCTCTCTTTCAATCTTCTCCCTTTCCTCCTTTTCCTCACACCTCTTTTCTTGCTGCCGCTTCAAACTTTCCCGCTCTTTTCGTTCCCTTTCCCTCCTTTCCCTCCTTTCCCGTTCCTCCCTCTCCCTCTTCTCACACTCAGCCTTCTCTCTATCTACCCTCTCCCGAGCTTCCTTTTCCTTCGCTAACCGCTCTAGTTCCCTCTCCTTCTCCCTCCTTTCCTTTTCTTTTCGACCCTTCTCTCTTTCTTCCCTCCTCTCCTTCTCCGTCTTCGCCTTCGACTTCACCGGTGTTTTAGGGGTAGGTAACGGCGGCGAAGGCGGTGGCGTGACATTATTCGTAGTGGGCATTGGCATCGGGGGCGCGGGCACGCGTGTGTCTTCCTTTTTTTCCGAATGCTCTTTAGCCTTCCTCTCCTCACCAGTAGCAGCAGTGAATTTCGATTCCCCCTCCCGACCATCTACAGAAGACTCATCATAATCTTCACTATGTGCAGTGTTTGCGGCAGTAGAGTCGGTTGGAGGAGAGGGACGAGAACGAGAATGATGATGGGAGGAAGAACCCGACGATGACGCACCCGATGTAGACGCACCTTCGCCTCCTGCTCTTCTTTGCCTGGTGTTGGTGGAGGAGGAAGACTTATAAAAAAAGTACTCCCCCCTATCCTTACCTCCTTCACCACTCCCAGTAGACCAACCACCGTGACTCCAGTATTGACTAGCGAACCATCCTCCGGTTCCAGCGAGTAGGAATCCAATAATTAACCCTCCAAGACCCCTCGCATAGTACCGAAAGACGGGAGCGAGAAGCTTTAGAAGTCCCTGAACAACTAGTGTGCTAACCACTCCCACAATGAATGAATTCCTGTGTGTTTTCAAGCTTGGCAAGTAAACTATTCCGCCACCAGCATCCTGGGGGATTATGAAGACCTCGTAATTCGGAGGAGGTAGCGAAGGAGTAGAGTTGTGAGGCGGGGGTGGTGGTGGATTGTCTTTTGACTGCGAGTTGTGGGGGGGAGGCGGTGGTGGGATGTCCTTTGGATTCGAACTATGCTTTGGGAGTGGCGGCCCGCCGAGTCCCATTTTGAAGGATTTTTTCTTCGCGTCGTTGAAGCCAGAGGCAGACGTCGTTATGAATTGAAGTTGGTAAAGGAGGTTGAAGGTGATGGGGGCTTATTCCATGGATATCGAGGTAAACAACGGAGGCAAGGATTATGGACGGATGGATGTATGGATGGAGGGCGATGGAGATTAGAGTATAAGCGGACTGTGAAGTGCTGCGAATTAGAATCCAACGGTAACTGAGTTCAGGGTAATACATGCGAGCTTACCAGTAAAATGGCTGGTCTCAGTGGAGAAAGCTGAACCTCCTGCTATGTGATGCGATGCGCGAGCAGTGAAAGGGAAGGCTGCGCACCGTAAGTTATGGTACTGAGTGATACGACAATCGTGTCTTTAACCGCGTTGAGAGTGTGATAAAGAAGGTAGGAAGGGGGAAACACAATAGACCCCACGCCCGGTCCTTTCACTCGACCCTCCCCTCCCCCCCCGCCCCGTGAAGGAGCCGAGCCCTCAATCCCGGTCCTCGGTGAGAGACAGAAAATTTGGAGGGAAACCGTTTTATTCGACCAGCCTCCTCCCTTTCACAACCCCGAAAAGTTTGTACCGCAAAAACTCCACGCAGCTGTGCGGTTGACACGTCGGGGATCCCCCAGCCACTTCTTCAAATCCAGTCCATCTACGGTAGAGCATCAAGGGGAAACCTGAGAAATTAATTTGCTAACATTTGTTGGGACTTTTTTTTTCCTTCTCTTGAAGGAAATTGAATGAAAAATTCACAGTTAGTCTACCGGCACAGAACGATAGCGGTAATTATTGGAACTCTGCAGTGTGATTGTTGCAAGGACCTACCGTATCCTGCTTGGTGCGGTTGCCAGGGGAACCGATCACGAGTTTTCGTTTCCCCCGTGTTTGGAAAACAAGAGTTCGTTTGTTTTGGTCCCTTCTTGGAGGGAGGAGGAGCCAGCGCTCGCACGACACAATAAACATTCCCCGCTTTTGCACCCCCAGTGTGGCAGGCGAAGCGAGTCCTAGAGTCACCACCGTAAAGGGAGCTGTGGTTCTCTCCCCTAAACACACTCATACGACCTGCAACAAATCACCCTTCTTGAAATATCCTCTGCAAGATGATGTGTATTTTCCGCGCAATCGCCGCTAGCCCCATTAAATGCTGTTGGCCGGCCGGTTCAGTTTGTTGGTTGCTTATTTTGATTTATGAGACTCGGATGGAACGATAAGAACTTCAGTCGCTTGTTCCTCCCTATGGGCCACATGTCATGCACCACCGTTCGCGCCCAAGCCGGGACTTGAAGCAGGGACTGCCGGTAGTACCGGCACGAGCGCCGTACCCTACCGCACAAAGTACTCGAGTATTGTACGAGTACTCGTAGGTATGCTACCGGCATCATACCTTCGGCTGCCAACCTGTGGGGTCCGAAAGTTGGTAACACAAAACAGTGATTTGCCAGCCATGGTCACGGTACATGCTGTACTCCTCGTTATTCGTTCGCGAGTGACATACCATGACCTATCGCCAACTGCTTAATCCGTACCCAACCTTGTCCACGCACAGGAGTGTACGTTGAGTTAACCACCTGCCCATTGCGGGAATGGGTGGTTGCTCGACGAAGGCACCCGCCTCACGACATCCATTGGGCATCCCTTGGCATCCGGCCCCAACAGACCCGCCTCCTGTTTATCCGCTTGGTTCATCCAACAGCTGGAAAACAGCTGGGATATGGCTCACACGGGTGTCGTGCTCCTTGTGATATATACCCGGATGTTGACTTGAGATCGTCCGCCGCCATCCTACCAAGCGGGTCGCGCAATACGAGTACTCGAGTAAGATGCTCCAGTCCGGATGTAGGATATGGGTGCTCGTGCGGCATGCCAGTAGGAGCGCAGCGGAGACAATACCTCAGGAGATGATACGTGTTCGGTCCACGAAGAGGCTTGGTCAAACGGCTGGCTTGGTAGTCTGTGTTGCATGATAGTTCTTACTCAAGCAAGATACAAAATCGGAGGGTCGGCGCAAATTTCAATCAATAGAGACATATCAACCCTCGGGGGTCACACACAGTCACTCGAGCATCACCTTCATTGGCCCTTACCTAGGCTTGTGTCAGTAACCTGCTTGGATATTGTATCATACTATTCGCAATGGGTGGGGTGAAGTGCTGCCGCTATACCAGGTCAGCACCAATGAAACTTTCTAACCTGATACTACGCCTCGCTCGAGGAAGCCACAGGCTTGCGACATTCGGTAACTCGGCTCGGCCGAAAGGGATATTCTGGGAGAAAGCCTATCGAGAGGCCCTCCCGTCCGGCGGGAAAGTGTTTTCTCTACGTCGGACGATACTGCACCAGTACACTGGTGGTATTTACTAGAATTCTATTTGGGGAGGCTGAGAGGCTGGTGACTTGGGAGGCTGATAATGGATCTCTGCTTCGGATAGGTACTTCAAGCACCTCTCGGGATATTTTGAGGGGTTTTCCTCGGGGAGGTTGGGGTGGTTTCGTCCAGTAGCTCCTAAACTTGCAATCGGAGATCTCGAAAGCCTTCCCCGGAAAGTGTTTATGGGGCAGCTATTGGCGCTATGGGTTTTACGCTGGGGCGCCAAAACGGGGGTCTCTATAAGTTACTGCTGCATTACGCGTGGTTGGTATGATATATATAATGTGGTGAGCGGAATGGGGCTCGCACGGCATTCATCCTCGATGGCATACCCATTGAGTCACCTGCCTTCCTATAAATTTGAAGGCATACTGATAACTCACCGGGTGGCCTTCTAGCGATTGGCTGGTGTATTGTACGTGGGGCGAATCTCCCTGCGGGCGCACAACAAAGAAATTAGCACGGCACGACCCCCCCGCTAATTATAGCAGCATACTTACATGTTCAGCACTCTTGAGCATCATTAATACCAGCACGGTATATTGGGGCGCGGAGAGCTCGGTCAGAGAGGTCTCGACATATTGGCATAGGTGCAAATTTCTCTCGAATGTAAATCTAGCCACATTCACTTAAGTAAACCGAGGGCGCTATCAGTGTGCCTTCTGATTTTCTTCCATGTCACCATGCGGTAACCTCGAGTGGGGATTGTTTTCAGCCACCAGAAATCCTTCAGCCTGCCAAAACCCAAGATCCCGGCTTATCCCTGGTTTGGCGAGGATGTGCTAGTGCAGGGAAAAATAACACACTTTGGCCCCACTTCCGCTACCGGTCTAATGAAAAACTTACTGCTACCATCCCAAGTATCAGAAAGAGTTCTCAATTTCCTCAATTCCTTCCTAACAGGGAGGTGGGGGAATCCTACTCCTGTAGAATGGAACGGGGGCGGGGTTATCGACGGAGAAAGCGGTCTAATGGCTTTAGCGATGTTTCCTGGAAGAAGCGCGCAAAGTCAGAGCTGTTATGAGTCCTATAGATGTTTGCCCCCTGATGACTGCGCTATGCACAGTGCTTCATATCATCATCAAGCCGCGCAAGCCCCTTTCACTGCAAAATTTCCAAATGCTGTACCGGTACTCGTACGCGTGTCATATGTTCACATATAGTACTCGTACTGCTCTCAGGGTGCAGGCTACAGTATGGTACAGTATTCACAGCCCCGTCATTTGCCGCACGGGCCACAGGGTGGCAGTTTGCCTGCAAAAAAGTACCGAAATCCGCTTTAATTGCGTTGTGATAAAAATAGCCTTCCACTCGCTAAAATCGTATGATGTTTAGTCTCCACTTCACCATTCATCACTCGCATTACTCGCTTCTCTGCTGGAGTAGAGGTGAATGTATGCAGCGATGATAAGAACCAGTATACGGATGGGATTGCAACGGGAGGGTTATATAGCCAAGTTTTAATCCGAGGAGGCCGGATCCATCCATGTTCGCTGTGTAATGTTGAAGAATGACTGTGTGTGGTGGCCATAGCCATCAAAAATCCTTGCCAACTCGCTCACCCACCCTGGATCATTGAGGGGAAGAGTAGTCGCCGGGTGTTTGTGCCTCGTGCTACTCTGAGAAATATCCCTGGTCCATGGGTTGTCCGATGCGGGGTTGACTTGACACTTTTCACGTTTTGTTATATCAGCGGGGTTGGGTCCGGCGGGGGCGGAACGGTCGCTCGATCGGTATCTTGGTCCGTCTTCCCAAGGGGAGCGTAATATGTGTTGGGGACGCTTCGAGGAGCCCATTTAATAGTTTGGCACTTGGGTACGAGCATCATACATATTTACGCGGGAGAAGTGCGAGTATGATATATTTTTTCTTCTTTGTCAAGTTTTTTGTATTTGTCATGGCATCATACAAGACTGGGGCTTGGCCCGTGTGTATAGGGCTGTGGCGTTAGAGCTTAAGAAGTGCGAGAGAGGAGGGAAGGGGTGTTGTACTGTATAAAAGCGAGTGATTGAGTTCATAGTCTGGAGAACCTAGGACTGGCGGAGTGGAGGACGTTAGAAAAGGGATGTTTTCAATTCGGTATTCGGGCGCGCTATTGGATTTTCCACTCGTCCAACGGATGCGACAAGAAAGTCTTGGTGTTCAAACGCTGAAGGAGCTTGGAAAGGTGGTGTGGTCACTGATATCGGGGAGCAAAACACCCCAAATTCTTCCTTCCCTGTGTTGGGTATTTCTTCCAGGATACTGTGGGAGTGACCATATATTTGGCGCGGAGATGTCCGCTGAACGTAGGTATTATTGCGGTTCCTGTGCCAGCGCTAGGGGAAAACGGTAATACGTTAAGTAATTAATACGGTGGAGGAGCCTCGACAAACTAAGTTAGCTGCTACTGCGTCAGGAGTCAGGTCAAGAACTCCTCCCCCAACTCTCAGGGCCGGGGCAGGGCACTCGACGTATTGATCTAGCAACAACCAGAACACCGCCGCATGGTACTTATCTCTCCCTCCCCGTGGGGCTACGGGTCGGTCGTTCTAGAATGCCGTGTCGGTGCCAGCAGGGATCAAGTTCAAGTGACTCCCGGAGAATGGTATGGTGCGAAGATACCACTGGTATGGTCACCTCCACATCGGAGAGCGAGCGGGGAGGGGTGGAAGGGAGGGTGGTGGACCCGGCGTCCTCATCCAAATTCATATGGCTTCACCATATAGGGACCCTCAGTAACGGTAGTCATTACTTGGCGGTACAACACTACCTCACCTCTCCTGCCAAAACCCGAGCTTTGAGCCCGTCTTGACCAGGTCTCATAGTTTATAATCTATTCTGCCGGCGAATGACGCAGCTTTGCACAGGGGGGGTGCTGGTGGTCTAACCACTCAGCAGAGAGCATATTTACTCTCGTGAAATGTACCGCTCTGGACCTGTGGGGCACTGAAGCCTCGAGGTTGGGCATTAAGTTAGCATGCTAGCCCAACCTTGGAGTTTCGGATTAGGAGGTGGTGTCGATTGAAGCTGTTTCTCGACTTTGACCTGGTCTTGTGTCTCGGAACCGTTGTTCTAGAATTGCTTTGGGGAGCTTTATATCGCTGGTGTCGCGGTGTTGGCTGGGGAGTTCGGGGTCTTCGTTAAATTTGTCTACACCCACCATGCTCGGGTACGGAGGTTAGTGATGGGATGGGCAGGGGTTTCTAAGTCAAGGCGTTGGATTCGGCCGGGGGTAAAAACAATAATTTAATTGGGGGGAGTGCAATGGGGGGTAAGAAGCTTTGGCAGTTTAAATCCTCTGTCCGTCTTATCACTTATTTACCTCCACGCCCAATTGCATATCCTGTCGTCTCGCACTATCCCCCCTCTTGCGTTATTCTGCTGTCCCGAATAGAAACCAATGGAGTCAATCCTAGACAAATTCTGTTTGAGGCCTTTTGTTCTTGTTCTACTTCCATTCCCCTACCCTGTCCTTTCGACATTCACACTCCACGCCTTTGTACACCACGTTCTTGCGTTCTCTGACGGGCTCGTTCGCCCTCATCCGAATATGATACCTCTTCTTTTATTTCTCCTACCAAATTTGCCTGTTTAGCCGAGTGACTGTCTATGCTAAACGTTCACAACAATGGCGTATGGCCGCTGACCTTTTGGGTTGAGCTGATGGGACTCCTCGCTATCACAAGGACCCCCCGAAGCCGGCCTAACCAGCCTTGAGCAGGAGAGGGGGATGGATAGTAAGGATGACCCTAGAATGGTAAGGTGTCTAGCTTGGTGAGGGGGGGAACGGCTCGACCATGCTCTCCATAGACTGGGCTCTAGCACAGTAACGCTCTTGCAAAACCACTTTGCTATGGCTCCTGGGAGGCTATCCGGCGGTGGGCGTGGTTGGTCCGCCAATCGATTCTGACCCAACCATACCGTACCAGTAATCACGGACTCAATCTTCCTTGACAATAGGAATTTCTCAAGCATTGCCCCACCCGCAGCGAATTTCCAGCTCGGATATCTTCCTTCGAGGGAACAACCTTATGCTACTTGAAGGCGGGGAGGAGGGGTGGCGAGGCGGGTGGAACATCTTGCGAGCAGCGGTGATCGATCGAGCAGGGTAGTGTCTTGAGTTATTTTTCTCCTTTACTTTTTAAACTTCTTGCATCTCAATTCTCGCAGTTAGTTGCCTTTGCGCTTACTTGGTTATTTGCCGCTTACATACTTTTTGTAGATAAATGAAGGGTCGACTGGAAATGATCGGGAATGGCGTTGCTGTTATAACCCTTTTTGTATGATCGGGTTGATTGTAGTAGCGCTATAACGGCTAATATCATAGAAAATGCCACTCAAAACTCTTGACCTCCGGCAGGCCTAGGGCCAGTGTCCGTAATCGGCGGGGTTGCGGAGGAATAGGGGAAAGGGGAGAGGAGTGAATTATTTTACCTCAATGATTTGGAAAAGCTGCTGTGAGACCAATTTTGAGTGCTATGCAGACTCTGGTGTCATACTTGCAACTTGCGGTGTCTCGGGCTGAAGGGAAAGCACGCCCGTCCTTCTGGAAGACTGGCGTCCATGGAGGTGACGGTAGGTGTCTGCAGTCCTTTAGCTCTCGGGACCTCCGGCGGACTGTATGGGAGGTTCAATTTTGCCCCAGCGGTAACCTATAGGGCCCTGCGGTCTTCGTCCATTACCAACATGGCCCGGCAAGTCCAGGAATCTGAGACAACCACAGGGTCCGAGGCGGGGGTTTGGACGGATAGACTAGATTTATTGGCACCGTCATCGCTAGGTGAGAAAAAATCTTGACGATTAGACCGTGATTGTGAAGGTATGAATGAACTCTATCGTACATATTCTAGAAATATATCGAGTGAGCTACCGGCAGTGGAGGTAAGAGATTGCCCCGCTATCCAACATTCAATACTTTAAACCTATATGGGTGTCTTTTTTTTTGTGGTGACTATTTGTGTCGTCTCGGGCGTGAGCTCCCGGTGGATCTCGGGTATTGCATCCTACTTTCAAATACTCCCGAGTCTCCGAAGATATCTGGCACCAGTTACTACCCACTGACAGAGTCTGTGCGAAGCGCACAGCGTATACGGAAAGACTGCCTGTGCTGCTAGACATCCGTGGAGCCTGCGGGCTTTGGGAAAAGCTGGGTGACCGCAAAGCCCCGGCCAGTGCCTAACTAGACTTGGAATCAACAAGCTACGATACCTACGGGCTAGCCCGGAGGCCCATTGGAACCCGATGGCGTGCTTTATTACCCGGATGGATTAACTTGAGGGAATACATGACTTTGGCGTGAGGGCGGAACTCGACTGATGGAGATACGGACTGAATGTGTCTGGGATGACCGCGCCCTGGTCAGCCCAGAGCCCGAAGCGGAAATAATATTCGGTAGGGGACACAGAAATTCGTGATGATTATTTGAAGGGCTCAATGGGCCTTGATTCTTGTGAGGGTTTGGCCTGTGTTGGGTGGGTTTTCGGGGCTTATCGGTATTGAAATGTTGGGCGAGCGACGAGTGATCGGGCAAGAGTCTTTCTTTTAAGATATGATACTTTCTCCTCACCGTGGCGCTTTCACGGCCTATACACGGAGTATAGCTCAGGATAGTAGTGGGTAAGTTTATAGGTGGATGTATGTGGAGAGTTCTCTTTTGCCCACACAGAGCAGTCTCCGATACCTGCCGGGAAATGAAACAAACTACATGGAGCAGACAAAGCAAGCGAGCAAGAAACCCGCGCACTTCCAAATTTACCAAAACGTTCGTTCATTCACTCCCCCGCAAGGACCCCCACCCTACTCTAAGCTTGACACAATCTCCCACTCCCCTCCTCCACTACCCACCCTTCATTCCCAACACACAACCTACACCAAAATACCCCCTCAGGGTCCCATCGTTCCTTAAGCATCTTCAGCTCGGCATACTTTGCCCCCCAAAACACCCTCCCGGCGTCCTCCTTTTTGGTATATGCGTCAGCCTCATTGACGTAGGCTCCAACTCCATCCTCACCACCACCAGCAAGAGCCAGCTTCTCCAACCCCCCCACCGAAACTTCAGTATTAAACTTGCGAATATCCAGCACGGCAGAAAGCGGGGTATCATCCAGCCACGTAACCCCGATCACCAAATTCAAATACGCACTCCGCCAGGCCGGGTGCACGGCCGTGTGCAGATGTCTGTTGCGCGAAACCTGACCCGCAGCAACCAGCTGACCGACCACGCCCCCCAGGCCGACTTTCGGAAACACGGTGACGAGCGTGGAGCGAATGTTTTCAAAATTGTTTTCTAGCACGGTGCGTGGGAGGAGGCGAGATGCCATGAGGGAGTTGTGGCCGACGGGTTCGGGGTATATATTGGGTCTGTAGGCTTCTAGCCAGGTGGCGTATTGCGTCTCAGTGGTTGAGATGCCTAGGCTTGGGTAGGTGGCTTTTAGGTGCGATTCTATCGGGGAGAATAGTGCTGTGGCGGTTCCGGGGGGGCGCTCGTAGAGGTAGAAGCTCCAGGAGAATACCAAGCTCCCGTTTAGGGGCATCACGACGAAGTACCCTGTCATCCCCTCGTCCGCGAGTCGTGGGAGGTGGCCGTGGATGTAAGCTACCGCGTCCCAGAAGGCTTCGTGAGGCCCCGGGGATGCGGGAGATACCATGAGGATTGTATGGCGGGTTGTCTGCGGGGTAGGATAGGTTTTCAATGTTGCGCTCAGGACAATGGCGAATGTCCCGCCACCCCCTCCCCGGAGGGCAAGGAATAGGTCTGGGTTCGAGTGCTTATTCACCGTCAAAAGGGTGCCCGAAGCGGTTACTGCTGTGAACTGCAAGACATTGTCTGCCGCTAGACCATGGCGGGAACTCAAATACCCGTGGCCACCACCTTGCAGGTACCCCCCAACCGAACCTACAGTCTTCACATCCCGTCAGTGATAACCCATGACGCAAGTCACTGGAATCCGAACACGAACAGGATTCGCCCCACCAACAACCACAAGCCCCTTCTTGGCAACCTCATCGTACACCTCCCCCCACTGCATCCCCGCCATCAATGTAACCGCACTGCCCTCCATAAAGTCATCGTGAAACTCTATCCCGCGAAGATTGTGCATCCAAACCCCCAACGCCCCGAACCCAATATTCCTCCCTAGAAAGTCGTGGCCGGTATTCTTAATTGCCAGTCTGAGCTTCCGCTTGCGCGCGAAGTGGATCGTGTCGATCACGTGCTGCGGGTTCGTCACGTTTACACTGTAGACGGGGTAGTTACCCATTTCGCAGGAGGCGCTTGTGGGTGTGCAGGGCCCCTTTGTGGATTCCCCGACGCCCGCCCACATAGGCATCGTTATGCTGGCGGGGTCGCTGGCATGGAGGGTGGAGTTGGTCCAGAGGGTGCTAATGCGTTCGCATACTTCTGGGTTGGAGGAGTTTGAGGGGGAGAAGCATGGGGAGGCTAAGGGGGTGATTTTTATTAGCTGCCCGCCGAGGGTTGAATTAAAGCTTTTCCAATCGGTTGGGTTGGGGAAACAGGAATCATTTGGACTCTAAGGTGATATCTTTTTCAGTAGCGGAATCCATCGGAAGAGGGAGGAGGAGGAAGTGGAGGTTATACGCATTTGCATCTTTCCGCCCCGACACTACCACCATAAGTACTTGTAGCGCACACAGCAGGAACAACTACTCCTAAAAAGATATCGTTAATTCTCATATCGTGCTCAATACTCGTGACACTGTAAACCTAGAAAATGCTAAACCCAGGAGCTACTACCACCACTTCCCTCAGCTTTAATAAGAGCGAAACTCCCAAATCACGGCAAATCACGCTGCACTGATTCTCAGCCGTATCTTCTCGCGGCCTGCTAGCGAGACATTCACATGCCAATCAGAGTGTTTACCCAGAGAGAATTATTACTTACCTAGCTGAGACCTGCAGATCCGTATGTGCTGGTGCCCGTACTCGTATTGCCGAACCGTTTTTCTTAAAAGAGCTACTATTGCATACCGGCCATAACTAACCAAAGGGGCCAAATTTTGGCAGAATAGAATAGCAATCCTTGACTATGCTTCGATATTACGAGAACTCCAAATGTCGAATCGCATACCGCGAAAAAACTTGGCCATTTTTCTTGGATCTGGGTGGTACTGAACATCCCCCTTCAGCTCTTCGACTCCGGTACGGTATTCAAGAAGGAAAAAAAAGAACGGCTACAAGTATCACGACCCGACTACTGAGTTGGCAGACGGACCCGTTTTACTAGAACTCAGCCAGTCAGGGTGATCCGACCCGATCTGATTCGATCGATGATTGAATTGCCGTATATAATCTGATTATAACCTGGACGATCAATCTCTGCCAAGGGGCCGATCAATTTGCTGAGTTAATACGGTGTGCGTGCTCCCGGTACCTTACTCGTAGTCTACCTGACTGTGGTTCTTCCTTCCCACGGCGACGACTAGGCTAACAACCTCGCGCTCAGCTCGTATTCAGCCGTCATCCTAGCAACCTCAAGACCAGAACAGCTACCCACTGGGTCATCGCTATCGGTAACTTGGGCCCCGTTTGGTTGCTCCCGGGTTTGTTGTCGGATTTTGGCTTAAAGTCCGGAACCTGGAAAATCTCCTCGCGCGGCCGGGTTGAATCCGAACACCAAAGGTTACAATTCCCGTGAAGTTTCCGGCTTCTACTCGGCTGCGCGAATAGTCTTTGGATCTTGGGCCTACCGGTACCATACATGTCCGGATTTGGATGTGGACTTTGGTTAATTTTTAATTATTTGTGCGTCAAATGAAAATCTGTGCGGATAGGGGGAAGGAAACATACTCTGATTGTATGACAGGTTTATCAAAAGTTTTTCTTCAGGGTTGAGCATGGGTTTGGCATTGAAAGTCCAGATTAAAACGCCTGAACTGTGACAATAACCCTATTACCACCATACTACCCGAGTACAAAAGATGAATCCAGCCCTAGCCGGGTCAAGATCTGGATTTTAGGTCCAAACATGGGGGTGCCAAAGGGGGCCTCAGGGGGTGCGGTTCCTGATGGGGTCGTGACGAATATAATGGGTGACGAAGAGGGGGATGGTAGTACAACTAAGCCAAATCGGAATATCAAGAAGATCCATGCACATTTGTGCTTGTTGTAGAATATACACTAGTAGGCTCAGTGGTAAGGGGACATAAGAGTAGAAAATTGTAAACAAAACATCCTATTAGATGTTAGAAATTGAGTATAATAGTTCATAATACAAGAAATAGAAGTCTTAATAGTCTTGGTTATTATGAAAGAAATATTGTTCTAAAGTACCTACTAATCAATTTAGTTATCAAATATAGCTTATAGTTCACCATATGTGGTTATTCTTTTCCTTTGCTTCTTCCTTAAATAACTATTTCAGTCCTCAATATCTTCTAGTCAGAAAATAGTAATTAGCTGAGGTGGTAAGAACTATTACAGCTTGCTTTTTCAGTATCTCATTATACATTATAAAGTGATAATAAAGAGTGAAGTAGTAGGTTGTATGAATGAGCAACCTTATAGGAATATCTGGATTGTTGAGTACTGAGATTTGATAATATAGTACAGCTTATTACCCCCCTTGCTACAGTTATATCACTAAGCACCAACTTGATTTAATACAGATTGACTAAATTTGCACTATTTACTTGAATATTTTCCTTGCAACTGATCTGCAATTTCAACCTAGAATGCTGGGAGCATAGTGTGGCTAAACCCTCCTACTTGCTGATTTTATCCAGGACAGCAGAGAAAAAACTCGTTAGTAGAGATTGGCAAGGGTATATTTCATTGATTGATCTTAAATAATCCATACACTGTCACCAGGGTTTGTGCTGTATGACATAGTAACTCACTCGATATATAGAGACCATCACTGAGAAGGTGATTTGCAAGACTATCTATTAGTGTGCTATGTCTAGTTCAGAGAAGTATCAATATACACCTTGTTTAGGTATCCTTACAGCAAGTGTTTCCCGTATCCTACTTATTTTCATTTTCGTAACTATTATGAGTATTGAAATATGAGGAAAAAAATCTCATTAATAGGATTAATAATTTTACATGAACTCCCGTACAATGTCTCCTCCATACGTTGCTTTGCTTCCTCACTACTAACTTACTGTTGATGCGGTGTCCTCATCGTATATATGCCCCTCTCACCAGATACCGGAACCTTGAGCTCAAACACTATCGGCATCTTTCACCGAGCCCCAATACCGGGGTAGGTATCGCAAATCAGGTGCCAATTTTTCGCCCAGGGGCACGAGTAGACTACCGTCGTTGTACTATATTGAGTTGTATATCAAGAATTCCTTGCTTCCCCGCATGTGTCAAGTTTAGACTATTTGGGAGCTCGTATGAAAGACTCTTGTATTTTACAGTCTAATCGAGTGTAAGGTGAGCAATATACGGGCCGGGGGAGAACAGAAGTGGCAATGATTAATCTTTCTCCGACTCTTTTGGGCAGGGGGAGGGTGCCCCTTCTGTTTGTATTTCCTCTTACAAGACATTGCGCACCCTTTGCGCCCTAGCTCTAGTAAGAGTGCTAGTTGCAGAAGGGGGTGTGGCCTGGCTAGGGAAATTTCCTTATTCTCCAAGCGTCGTGCTTGGAGTGAGATTGAGCGTGGACCCGCGGCAGTTACGAACAGCCAAGTCGAAGGCCATAATACCTCCGAACGAAGTAAAAAGAAAAAAGAGGTCTCTGGGGGTTTGGGAAAACCTCCTCTCCAGTTTGTGATAAGGAATGAGCGTACATCCTAACCAGCCTATTCTTATCCATAAATAAGCGACAGAACGGGTTTCTGTCACAGAGAATTCAGGTGAAAATGAAGACATGTGCGTCTCCTTCTATGGCTTGGGCGTTTATAATTCATTCCATACTAATTATCAGCGTGCGTTGCTCGTTATTGCAATTCAAGGTGCAAATCGTACTATCATACCTACCAGCGAACCCAAGTGGCCAGTCCGTCCGGCTTTGGGTACGGCCCAGCTGACCCAGGCTTTTTCAAAACCAAACCCGTGCCCGGCCCGGGCCTAGATCACGAACGGGTTGGGGTTTCAAGTAATCTCTTGTGTTTCATTGTGAAGAAATATTTTATTATTCGACAGGACTACTTGCTCTTACGAAAATCATTCGGTTAATATATATTCACCTGGGGTGGTTAAAGAATTGTGTGAAGAATAGAATAGAGTGTCTTAAGATAGGACAGTATAATTTGAGCGGAAGTGGGTATCGCGATGTTTGATTGGTAGATGAAATATATTTGTCTTAAACGAAACATATAGCGCCATCAGTATGTTGGTTTTATTCACCTGGCCCAAGCGATTGAAAGCGGAAAGCCTGCGTGCTGTTTACGGATATCTTCGGATTGTCTGGGTGGGCATCTGGCAGCTTTGTATTAGGCTGCTGCAGGATTCGACGGGGCCGCTGCCCGGACACCGCTGGACTTTGGCGGCTGTAAATACTTTCGACCGGACTGGCCGCCTGGGTTCACTGAACCTCCGCTATTGTGACTCACTCATAGTCACACTGACCGACAAGAGAAAGATTCTCTATCCCAGACATGCAGGGAACAGCCGGGCACCCCCAGCGTGTCCGACAGAATGAAAGGAAGAGATAACGAAAGGAAAAGGGAATACCGGTGGAGGCATTCCGCCCTGTGGGCTAGCGAGTGTTCCTCTAGTGCCTAGAGTGGGTCGGCCCGGTTTGTGCACAAGGAAGTGATTAAACGCACCAAAGCCCTTCTTCAACTCCAAAAGTTTTCATGAACATTACTCAAACCCGGTACTGAGGGCCTCTGATCAACAGATATCTCCGTTTGTTCTGAAATACGCAAAGAGCTCCCTGCTAGGTCTCCACATCTCCAGGAGCCGGCCTTTGTTGAGATAAAGGCTGTAGACCAGCAGCAAAAAAAAGGAGCAAATCGTTTCCAAATCCCTTGAGGTGTCGGAGGGCCTGCACTGGTCTGTTGCTGAAAAGAGTAGGATCTGATGGCTAGATCTCTTTTCCTCTTACTGTCTTACTCCCAACCACCTGTGAGTGATGATACAGTCCGGGAACGCCGGGGGGAACTTAGCTAGGCAAGGGAGAACGCAGGAAAAATTTAAAAAAAAACAGAGTCAACCAACATCTCTGATTTGGTTGAAAATACAAAGGCACATTCCCGGGAGTGTTCCGGATGGTCAGGAGGCCCTGAGGGAGGCCCCGGACATGAATTGGCAAGAGCAAGAGATGTGACTTGAGGGCATCTAGCTGTCGGTTCGGGGTAATAATATCTTAGCACCGCCATTATCGGCTAGGAGGGCTAGAAGGGAAAGAGGCAGGATGGTGTAATGGATCAAGGGTGGTAGATGGGGAACCGAAGAGAAGTAAAGACTGGTGGGAAATGAGAACTGTGAGAGGGTAAGAGTTGGCAGTGGGGGGCGATGATTTTCTTATACATTATTCTATACCTATACTCCCAGCACTTATACCAATGAGGAGTATCTATATACAGCGGTCTAAGTCCAAATGTTCCGTGCTCAACATACATTTGTCACACTGACGCAATATCACCAACCGACGGTGTGGAAGAACGAATGAGTGATGTCTCATGATGAAAGACCCACCGATAACTATTCCAAAAACTACTCATACAAGTAGAATGAATGAACTGGGTGGGGAATCCCAATATTTAAATTTGCAAACAATTTATTATTATACCTTCTGCTTGGGAAACGAATTTGGGTTTTATCTGCTGTCTTGGATGACAACTTTAGGAGCATTCCGCAATCTACAGAAGCATGGCTAGGGTAGTTGCTATATTCCGAACTCCATCGGTATGGAGAGGTTAACTCTCAGTGTCGACCGTGCGGCCCATCTCACATCAGGTTCCCATGGCCTGTCTAGCCCTTGGGCTGCCAGGCATAGGGTATCTGGACACCTAAAGAGATATGGACCATATGGAGCAGGGACCATAGTGCATTCCATCCTAACTCTGAGTCCCAGACCATCAGGCGCACAGACAATCTTCCTGTGGGATTTCCGAGTTCCAGGGACCGGGTATTATCCAGCTAAAGACCTAGGAGTAACTACAAAACCAGAAAATTATTTCCCACTCCACCGATGCCTCAAGGTTCCTGCGCCCGTTGCATTCGTACTAGAGTCTGTATTCACGTGGCGGAGTTGGGTACCAGTACCCAAGGGGGAGCGCAATTTCTGGAAAGGTGCCCGACAGGGAGAATAGTATTTAGAGATTACAGCTGTCCCAAATTAGAGGAAGAAATAAAAATCTCTCTCGATATTAATTTGACTTTTCCTTCCGCTATCATACCCCGCCTATGGCTGACCTCGCCCTTACGTGATGGATCGTTCAACAATAACTCAATTGTGAGCAGGAATTGAACCCCTAGGCTCTTACTAAGTGCAAAGGGGCCAATTAGTTCCTGAAATATTAACTACTGTCCCAGCTAGGTATTTCGCATAAAAATATCACTGGAACTAATACCTGATCTTCCGGTAGGTAGACGCGGGTTAATTCTTAAAGACAATAGTTGTTGTTACGCTTATTGCAACGTAATTTCTATAGGAGGAGGTGCATTCTCAAGAGAATAAAAATTACAGATCAATTGATCGTTAGTTGGTGACAACAAAGTTCAGCTGTATTTAAAGGAACACCCATAGCAGGAATCCCAATGATGATTCCAAGCCCACCACGAGAGCCAGTGGCTTTGCGCATTCAACATGAAAAATCTAGATACCTGATAGAAGTTAGAGATTCTTGCCCTGTTGTCAATCGTCACTTAGATTTGTACAGTACTCCAGCGATTATCTCAGATCTTCGCACCGGGGCGAGGGGGGACGCGAAGGCCAGTATAACCAAGTTAGAACTCCCGGAAAAGCTACCTTCTAGCTTTGCCCTGCCGCTAAGCTTGCAGGAGGACAAATACCCAAGCGTCCAGTCCCTCTAGCTTCAGATGCGGACGGGAATAACGGTAGAGAACGAGAAGATGTCTAGGACGGACGGGGATCTTGGCGCCCGTACAGACCACTGTAGGAGACTGCCGGGACCTAGAGGTGATGGGTGGGGCCTGTAGGTAATAGGATAGAGATACCGCTCACTAGAGGAGTACAAGATCCTGCCCTCTCAGAAGGGAGTCTTTCAAAAGGTCGGATATTGTTGCCCGAGGCTTGAGACACCACGCCGGAGACGCCCAGGACTGGGGTCTTGTAGCTGCCTACAGGGCGCTCGGGGCGCTTGGGATGACTGGATGGATCACCAACATGGCGAGGGAAGTAGCCGGTCAGCATCATGAGCCTCGTGACCCGATGCCCCCTCAAGGGGGATTAATGCTAAGGGCAAAAACTAAACTTGTGGGGTCAGTGAGTTGGATTGGAGGGTTGGAAGCTATCATACCGTAGTCTGTGCATGTATCATACTTCGATTATTTATTTACTGCACTAAACTATGAAGAGCCAAAACGCCTAATCTAATATCTAATCAAATCTGTTGCACTTATTCCTCCCTCCCTCCAGCCCCACCCTCCCAGATTCTCACAGCGAAGAATGGTTAGAAGGCCACACTACTTCCCATGTAGGTTTTTAATACAGCTGCTTATCTTCCCTCCCCCCCCCTTTTCCCCATTGTTCCGGGAACCCGGGTGTGTAGGACCTCACCGTGATAACCCCCACCTCTAGTCACTAATTCCCAATACTCCCCCAGTTAGTCCCACCGCTCCGATAAGAATTGGTTAAAAAGGGAAGAGAACAGTTGCTACAAGTAGCACTGTACCTGCGAGCCCGCCAGTCCCATTCTCGACCGACGGTGGGAAGGCGGTGCGGATATTCGCCCCACAGTTGTATGAAACGGAACACCGCAGAACCCCAGACAATTGAGCCATGTGCTACGTAGCCCAAAAACCCCTCCTCTAGAAAAGGGGCGAAAGAGACAGCTATCCAGCCCGTAAAAAAAGGTAAAAAAAGAAAGACCGAAAAATACCAGACCTTATCGGAGGAGGCAACCCAAACGACACAACCCAGGGTTCAATCATTTGAGATTTATGGTACCAGTAACTCGAAGGAATATGAATCCCGTCGAGAAAGGAAACGACAAACCAAGCAAGTGATACTCGGGCTGCGGGAGTAGGATTGCGAAATTAAAAAATAACGTCTTCCGCACGATGTAGGGTGAGCACTCCCGCATGTAAACCAATGCTAGCGGAAATGGAGGGTTTTTGGAAACAGGTCTCCGCGTAAGGGAAATATAGATATATATTATATATATGCGGTGGGATAGACACGCTAGTCGGGATATGTCTGGGGTTCCCAATATGGACAGAGTGCTTCCAGAGATCAGCGAGAACGTGCGAGGATAGCAAGACTGGATGGGAAACCTGGTCGGTGAGCACCGCGGGAGTGTGAGGAAGAGTGCGGAAACTATTCTGGGGTGTCAAAACACTAATATACATAGTACCTCCAGAAATTTTCTAGACTAGTCCTTATCTTGCTCATGCAGGCTTGTTCATTGAGTCGCCGTAAGGGCTGGAATACCTCTGCGTTGTGGTTGCCTATCTTAGTAATGACTCTCACATTTCTTTTTCATTCGCCCCAGCGGTGGGCTAAAAGTCGGTTTTTTCCAGGGGGATTCTGGACGCTTTAGCACGCTTCAATTAGACTAGCCCTTATGCTATCGGTACCGGCACTATGGGAGACCTCTTGTGTAAGGTGGAGAGGAGGGCGCCGCTGCTAAGGTACAGTACATGTACAGTACAGGAGAAACCACCGGGCACAAATGCACGACGAAGACACTCTCCATGCCTCTCATATTCGCGCCACGTCCTCTTGTTGTAATCTACGCCTTGGTCATCCATAAGCCTGCCAACGCTCGAGCACAGCACAGTACTCGAGTAACTTACCGACCAACTACCCCGCAATGTCGGCGGGAGTGGCTTATCGTTGGCTTAGATGCCAACACATAGGCCATCTAGAACTAAATCCATCGGGAGTTTCCAAGTAAAAGATACGAGCGTCTACGAGTACTGAAAAGTGCGTCATTCCTTGGCAGATCATACTAACCTAGACAAGCCACTGGCAGGTAAACACCAAACTAACCATCTTACATAACGACCATATGAAGATTTATGATATTTTTTTAATCATGATATCCTAACCAGCCCCAAAACCCAAGGAAACAAAAAATAGAATCAACATGAAGGCTTAGGATGCATGCGCGCTAGGGGAATGGCCATGCGCATTGTCCTCACCACCCGAAGAAGCACCCGGAGAAACCTCTTTCCTCTGTGACATCCGCACCTCATCGGTGCCAAGGTTCTCCCTAAATTGAGGCAGCGCAGAGGTGCTCGACGCCTCGGCACGTGTTTCCCTCTGTCTCTTGACATGCTTTTCCACAATGTTAGCCACGGGCTCCGTAGGAATCGTGAAAAGCAAATGTTACCTTATACTTAATAACTTCATTCCCGAGTTCGTCTTCGGCACGCTCAACCTCGAGAGTAAATCCGAACTTAGGCCATATCTTCGCAAATCCGAACCAATAGATAAACCCTGCCACAAATACACAAAGGCTCACGGTTGGGAAAACGTAGAATGGAATCGATCCAGTCAAAAGTGATCCATCCCCATATTCATTTGGTATGAACGGAGCGATCAGTAGGAAGACGCAAGCAAGGCAGAATGTGAGTGTGAAAGGCCACCAGACATGATAGTCTGTTCGTTCTGCTGCCCAAATTTCCGATTGCGAAGGCGAATGCTGAAGGTAAAGAAGTCCACCTCCAATGAATACTGCGCCCACTCTCATTAGAACCTTGATCAGATGCACAGGGGACAAGGGGGCAATACAAGACACCCAGGTCTGAGAAGAAGTGAAAAGACAGATGAAGAAATCATATGTGTCCTCAGAGTCAGAGCTCGGTGCAGATATAATAACGACGGAAAACACCCAATGAAGTAGCAATGCTGCAGCAGGGGTACCAAAAGGCTTATCGCTAGCCCAGAAACGAGACCAGGGAAGCACACCCTCTTTACCGAGCTCCTGCTTGACTGCATAAGGAATCAGCATCCCGCCAAAATATCGCCACCAAAGGCGCTTACCGCGAGAATTGGCAAATGTGACCGCAAGGACGTTCCCAAAAGCCGATGAAGCAATGCACAATGGCACAATCGTAGTCGCAAAAGCGTTCCTTCCAAAAACCTTTTTGAGATGTTAAGCTTCGAGCACTCCACCTTGAAAACGAACAACACCTACATCTAAAAAGAAATCAGCTGCAACAGTAACACCCCCATTCTGAATAACTTCCTTTGGGAGCGCCGCAAACTGTTGATAGCATCTATCAGTAAACAAGCGTGGCCAGTTAAGACATTTGAGAAGACAAACATAGGCAATGTTGGCCAATATGTAAAGGGCAGCCACACCAAGTATAGCGATTGGGGCTGATACCCGTAAGGTTTTCGCTGGCCGACGGACCTCACCGAGAACCTAGAGACCATGATTAGCGCATGTAGCTAGTCTCGGAGGAGAATATCCCACGTAGTTTGCACTCTCCCACCCTCTGGGAAGCACTGGGTGGTTAGACCATGAATTTTGTAATTAGAGCTGTGAACCAACATACCGATAACTAAAGTGTGAAAGGGAACCAGTTGTTAGTTTCCTAAAGCTCACATATAATGCCATAGGCAATGCCGCAAGAATTACCTGTAGTTTACCTACCGAACGGCGGAGTTAGCATAACCTAATCCCCTCGAAAAGGCCCTAGTGGTAGAACTCACTGCCAATAATGCTGCCGCCCAGCTTCCGGGCGCGTCAGTTGCGCCATCCCTCTTCCATGCTCCATCACCATAAAAGTTTTTACTTTGTGGGTTATCAAGTCCCCTTCCCGCACCAGCCGCTATACCTGCTATGACAATCAACACAAGGAGTGATATCTTCAGCGCAGCAAATGCGGTCATTAAGTACTTTCCGCCAACCTTGGGCCAGTAAAGGTGTATCAAACAATTCAGCGTTATCACGCCGATCGCAAGTCCCTTTGAGAGCCCTTCGGGCGGGGGAGTAGGAAGCGCTTCCCCATGCTGCTGAATATTGACGGAGTATCTTCTTGGATCGATGGCACGAAGAAAGTGGGCTGCGCAAGAAACAGCATTTCCCGCCGTGTTCCCAAGTAATATAAACTGTATCGCGTATACACAGGTGGCAATGTACTTGGGTTTCCGGTAGATTCGCTCGAGCTACAATAGGGTAGCGGTGCTATGTTAGCTATGCATAAAGAAAGGCGGTCCATATTTGGTAAAGGGGAGGATAGTAAGAGCGATTAGAGAAAGGAGTGATTACGTAGACTTTTTCACCCCCTGAACGAGGTAAAGCAGTTCCTAGAAGCACGGTTATTGTCAGCGCAAATGCTGGCGAACGATCATATTCTAATTATACGCGCGAGGCACGCACCAAGCTCTAGGAAAACGGCCATCCTACACATACACACAGTCAGTCAGCTGAACCCAATGCCCGACGATTGCCAACCAGCTACTCACCCACAAAATGCGAGAAAGGCGCCGACGCACCATAGCAGCAAAGATCCGGCAGGAGTACCAGTAGCGCGAAGAACTGTTGAGGGCGTTGAAAAAATGCCCGTACCAATCATCTGATTGCAGATTAATGCTGCAAGACATGTCAGAAGTTGACTGTGAGCGAGCCTGTTTTAGAGCTCTTACCAGCCGTTGACCAATAGCCCAGTTTGCGGTCTGTATAATACTCTCGTGGTTAGCCTTTGCACCTAAAGCCTCACCAGCAAAAGAGGTGGCATCGTGTCCATTCTATGTGCGCGTACCTTCGGGAATTACGAAGGTCTGGACATCGTAAACTGTAGGGTCATCGCATTGACCATTCGCAGCTCCAGCGGTTGCGCCGATAGTGGGGAAATCCGTCTCAAAATCTCCGAAAGCTCCTCTGCCGGGAGCAGAGCTAGACCCATCATCGCCACCGGCGGAGGAAAGCTCCACGCTGCCGCGATCTCCGGGTTTGAGGTGTCCGGGCATGTCCGATTGGCAGGGCAGTCAGGCTCACGGACTATGTCTGTTGCAAGTGTCTGATGCGCAGGCACGGCTACTATGAATGGGGCGAGCAAAGAGATGCCGGATAGTGATTATAACGTTGCCGTACCGTGCTCGTATCGTTATGAAGGGAAGAACTCTCTGGGAGCCTGAACGCAATTCACCGACAGGCAGGGTTGGATTATATCGAGTCCCTCCACCAATAGCCTTGACAATGCCGAGCCAGCATTACAGCCCTGTATTTTCCACGCAGGAGGTGATTCTCCCGCTCCGCCCCAATGCACCTTGTAAACTAGCGGACTATGTGTAACACGGTGAATTTCTATCCTGCAGGTCGGGTTCCTTTCCCCTCACACCCCACCTATAGTCTACCCTTACCGCACCTTATCTACTCGAGTACTGGGGATGGATGCGCACCCAAAGGTTCCCAAGGCACACCACACAAGTACGGCAGTTACACATTTGCCATGCTCGAGTAGGCAATGATCGAACCGCCCTGTACTGTACTCTACTACAAGTAGTCCTGTACCACACCGGGTAGACTAGCAAAAGTGTGCACTAGCATAATTGTTAATTCCTAAAGCGGGGCGATCCAAATATGTTACTAATGCGAACAAGTACTCGTACATTACTCGAGCACTCTGCTAGGGCGCTCGAGTACCGATCTTGTGGTACAAGTAGACTATGACAGGAGCTGAATGACACCACGAGCGAGAAAAACAAAATAAAATACGCCCCAAAGGGATCACATTCAATTGCTATTACAAGTATCTACCATGATCCCTTAGTCAATGGCGTTGCTGCGCCCTTCATTCGTTCAGGTATCATAAATGATCTGGTCAAGAAAATACGAGTACTGTACTCGAGTAGAGAGTATAGTATGCTTTCTTATGAACTAGAAATAAATTAATAGAGTTTCAAACTGAGACCCAAGTTATTCTGCCGATTCCTTCGGAGGAATGGTTACAAGTGCTCCTGGCGGGAACAATAACCACGATACCAAAAAAAACTCTAGCAAGCCCGGGATAAGTGGAACAGGAGAATCTGCCTAAAATCCGAGGTTACAGATTGGCTTGCAGTGTCCTAATCACTCAGGAACCCGTTCCTCCAACATAATGCCTTATGAGAGGTTATGGATTTCGTCGTCAAAAGTCGCCTTTTTGGTTGCAACGTCGCCAGGCGCCCGGGCTGTTAATCCCACTGGGAGGAATACTCGAGCGTGGCTGCAGGAGAATACCGGTACCCACAGAGACCGGTAAAGGCACCAGTAATAGTGGCCACTGCACTGTATCAGATGTGAGTTCTCGAGTGCTCAACATGTACTGTACGAGTACAGGCACAATAAGGTACGTTGCACTGCCGTACCAGTCAAAAGATTCAAATTCGACACTTTCCCAGCAGCTCTACCTCCCTTCCACACAAGTGAGCGAACAAAGACGGAGCGGGGAAGTTACACCCTCCCATCGTCGTTACACGCGCCAGAAGTCAAGCAACATTTGTTGCAACTGAGGGGAGGACGAGGCTCATTTTACCCACCCTGTTCTCCCCCCTCCCCACACACATACTTACACACCTTTCGACGCCTCTTCTCCATGCGCCCAAACCCAAATAATCCAGATACATGCAGCCGGCTGTTGTTGAGAGCATCATAGCCCTCTCCACTCATTAGTCACCCTTCCGTCTTCCACATTCAGATACCATACCGAACCGTACTTGTGCACTGGACAGAAGAAAAGTTGTGACGACCAATTCTGCCTTTTACCTCTTCTACCCCCCACCTCATCCCCTTTCTCTCCCCTCCAATCACACATTGCTCCCCGCTCCTCTAACAAGACAAGGCGGGTTCCCACTCTTATCCTGCGCAGTTTCTGCTCCTTCACTACACTATCACTTGCTAAAGCTTTCTGCTCCCTCTTTCGCCCCCTTCTCGCTACCGGTATTATTATTGTTCATGTCTATGCTCATCCCCAGTCACCTACCCTCCTGTCCTCCGCATTCAAATAAGATCGGCCGAAAGGGCGCTGAATAAGGTAAGGTCTGTGCGGCCATTGAACGCATGTAAGCAAGTTCTGCTCCTTACCATACTCGAGTGGTCTACAGTCCCGGTCCCGGCCCCGGCCCCAGTCCCTGAACATCCTACCCTACCGCAGCCTCACCGATCCCACTACACATCCATCTACCATACCGGTATTATACCTTTGGAAAAAAAAAATTTCCCCTCAAAAAAAAGGGAGGGAAGAAGATAGTTTATAATATCCGGCAGGCCGACGGGGCCTCGCTTTCCTCCTTTTGATTGTCTCCCCTTTCAACGATATCGGCTCAATCAGCCGGTAGCGAGCGATAAGACTCACCACCCGTTGTGCTGCCCCACATCACCGCAGATCCGATCTTACCTTCCAGAACAGGCTTTCATCCCCGTTCGCAATCCCTCCCCCCAATTCCCCGTCCAGCTCCTCGTTCCGAGAAATCTCCCGATGCCCCTCTTACATGTTCAACCTCTAGTTGTATTTTTCTCCTAAACCGAAAGAGGAAGAAAGAAAGAAAGAAAAAAGCACCCGACCCTATTGAATTCGGCCGATTTCACTGTTAACCATCCGTTAAGCGTTGTCAACAGATTTCGTCCCCTTCTGTGTGAACCCCAGCTGGCGGAAATACCCAGTGAGAACCTCAACATGTCTGTAGGGTTCGGGTTCAGTATCAGTGACATTCTCGCCTGTGGGAAGTTCTGTCATCAAATCTACAAAGCATGTTTTTCCGAGGCCCATGATGCTTCGGCGGATTGGACAGCTCTGGGCAAGGAACTCGTCCTCCTAGGTGATGCCCTACAAAACCTTTGCTCGGACGAGGGTATTATACCACAAGATCCCTTCTGCGGTCCAGAAATGCATGAAAAGGAACAGCGAGCACTAGAAGCAGTCAGAATGGTGGTCGGTGACTTCCAGGAGACGTTAAAGGACCTGAAAGAGTTTCTCTTAAGATATGACGATTTCCGGAAACCAGATGCTGGGAGACAATATTGGTTGAAGATCAAGTTCAGTGTCAACTCTGCAGAAGTCGACAAGTTCAGGGAAAGGGTAGCTATGCATACTCGGGCAGTACATCTACTACTCAACCCATTGATATAGTTAGTATACATATGCTATTCGGCAGGATAGTACACGATTTATACTGTATGAAGCTGACTTCCCCAGCAAATCCACAAAAAACGTTCAGACTACTGTCACCGACATCAAAACTCGCATAGACACTATTGACCAAGTCCTACAAGCTCTATTGGTAGTCGCTTCAGAACAGCTAGCAACTACCTCATCTTCCCGTAATCCTAGAAGGATCGCCGATCGATCTCATACAAGACTCCAGAACGGTCACCCTCAACAGCTTATCGAAGGACCCAGGAGTCCTCAAACAATACCAGAACTTCTAGTTGCTAACAATAATAAGCCACGGGGCGGAGAAGAGATGTTAAGAACAAACAGCTATCCCGCCGGAGGAGGCCTATATGAGGATACGATAGACATGGGTCTTAGTCGGTCATCCACAGACACTGACATGATGAACCCGCGCTCACCAACATCCCCGTATTCTCCAAAAGGTAGGCGGAGGCTCCCTGCCAATCGTGATGGTGACGAAAGACGTGGTAGCGAGTCTTCTTCACCAACCTTAGTCGGGATCAATCCTTCGGAATTCAGGACACAACGACAAAAGTCGTCTGCAGGCGCAACTGAACTCTCCGATAACCCAATAAGTAAGGCACTACGGCAATCAGCTATGAGCGAGAGTGCAAAGAAAAGACCAATCGAGCATTGGATTACTGCTGCAATGCATTGGTATTTCAAGGTAACTACCCCTTTTGAGTCACCAGCTATCATTCGCCTCACAAAAGTTAATTAATATCGAATTCTTTGCCAGGCAGAGAAAGATCTTGAGGACCCCGGCAACCCGGAAGTCTCCTTGGAGGCCTATTTAGGACTGATGAAAAGCAGTTGGATCGTGGAGAACGTCATTAATAGATGGGAGGCCGAAGATGGGCTACCCGAAGAGATAAAAAGAAACATAAAAACTCTCGTCGCCGTGAGTAACGCAGCCCCGTGTATTGTCATATCCACATCTAACAATAGACAGTCGATTGTAAACCAATTCCGAAAGATCGGGAACCGGGAGATGCCCGACATCAGAAACATCGACCTACAACATTTCGAGATATGGCATAAAGATATTGTCCTCATTCTCGTGGAGCCCACTTCGCCGCTCTCTTCTCGCGCCTCGTCAAGAGAGAGCACATTCATTTATGGTGCCTACTACGACCCTACACCCCCTAGAAGACCTTCAGAAGCGCCAAGCAACCATGCCCACGCAACGGCTCCGTCAGACTACGATTCACCACTGGACCAGGGCGCGCGGGGATTGCGACACCAAACATACCCAGTCTCTCCCGGTGGACACCATGCTCCATATAGCTACGAAGAATGGGATGACATTCCAACTACCAATGCTCCTGCTTCCACGGATGACAGTGAATCCAGTCCATCTCGTAAATATCTCTCTGGATCTGTGGTCAGCCGGTCTTCCCCCAGCATTCCGAGCAATAGTGGAGCTTCAAGTTTTCCGCCACCTGAGAACGGGCAGAACTTGCTGAATTCAAGGCAGCACGACATAGCCGAGCCCACACGGATCAACGGTCGTTCCCTAAGTGTCTCAACTACATCCACCGAATCATCAGGCCAAAGTTCGACCCAATACCCAACCACCCCTACACAAGCCCAGGCGAGGCCAACAGTAAGGAGGAAACCAGTCCCCGCCTCGCCCATCACCTATCCTACCACTATACCCCAGCTTCCAGAGGACGACCAGGAGAGTTATGAAGGGCTCGGTGAGCGCACCATCCTCAATACAATGTAAGTAATTTCAATCCTTCATTAGTTAGGCAAGAACTAACACGTGAATTGACCCAGTGAGATTATGTGGGCTTCACAATTGTCTGGCCCCTTCCACAGGGGCACTGTAAAAATATTTTGGCACCAGTCCACCAAGTTTTTCCGGATATACACCAGGTATAGCGCCCGTCGTGCTCAATCGCAAGAGGGTAGGTTTATCAACCCCTTATTACAATACGCAGCTAAACCGTGGGGAAGTGTCCCTAAGGGGTACTGAAATGATCCCGGAATACGCCTATGAGGATGAGCCTACCATCTACTTACGGAGAACCGCCCGACCGCCGGGCCCTAACAATGGCTCTCAAGCTACAGGCCCCGCAACGGGGAATGACACTACCCGCATAGGCCATGTATATAAATTCCATACATCAGAGTGTAAGACTCCTCTATTTGCGTTCCCTATGGCTTCAAGCACCCCGGTTTAATACCTGGTATCTAGCCATGTTTGACTTCCAGAGAGCACTCACTAGCGAGCGTGTGTACCAAGATCTGTAAGTTTTTTAGTTTTTTTTCAACCTCTTATCCTCGTTTTTGGAATTGGCTCTAACAGGTAATATGACCCCAGGGTGAAGCGCGTTGCCTTGGTAAAGTTAAAGCTAGGCTCAGGTAATGGTACCCACTATTATCACAACGCCCGCCTACAACTCTGGCACGAAAATCCGCCAGCCGACGCACTTGTCACAGATGCAGCCTCTGGTATGACCGGAGTCTCCAAAGCCGCCCGTGCAAAGCTTGTTCTCCAATGTTCCCGTTTGATGATATATTTCGGGGGTTCCTTCCTTACTTGCTTTTGTTTGTAGCCTCCTGCTATACGCTTTTGATAGCAGCCCGCTAACATTTCAAAATAGTAACCGACGACATTACACTCAAACGCGACGGTCATGAACTGATGTTGGTACCAACAAAATACAAGGGTAGTCTGATGAAATCGCCTAAAACCGTAAAGGCAGTCATCCGTGGCAACGAAAACAGCAAAGGCGGGTTTAGGCTTGACAAGGAAAAGATCTCGCCCGATGATGAATACAAATTCGAGGAGTATTCTTATATTCACATCAATTTCAAGGATACCGAGTGTAAGAAATCACATGGTAGATTTCTCAATCAACGTGCTAACTGTACTGCTATAGATCTGAACAAGTTTCAAAAACTCTGGAACGAAATGATGGCCGCAAGGCGTGCGAAGCGAAAGGAGATTAGTAGTCTAAAGGAACAACTTCAAGCGGCTGCCCGGGCCCCCCTCGCAGTCTCTTGACTACCTCCCATACTCTTTTCTAACTCATCTTTCATCCCTATAATATCATGTAATTCTCTCCTACTAAATTTTTGCATCTTGGGCAAAACGGCGCAGGTGCACGGCGGGACACGGTCTGAACAGCAATTAATGTCATGGTAGATTTCTTTAGCATCTCTTTTCTTCCTTCAGATGGCATCAGGGTAGCCTACCAGTAAGCCGCAAGAATAGATACGGCAACATAGTTCCCACTGAGCCTTTCCTCCGCTACCGCAACCTCAACCTCCCGGCGAATGAGCGAATGCGCAAACGAGAGCGAGAAAAAAGAGAGAAAAAAGAAGTTCCCATCAGGACAGACAAGATGGCCAACCAACAAAAAAAAAAAAAAAAAAAAAAGCAAACTCCAAGACACACAATCACAATAGCTGCAGGAACCACACATCTCATCACTGATTCACAAACAACAGGAAAAAGGTAAATCCGGGCTTACGTCACATCAGGCTGTTTCCGCACAACCTTTCGGAATAATTTTCCTCCAACTATGGGGAAGTGCGAGGAAGAATTTGCTGCTTGCATTCCGAAGTTATTCCGGAAGGATGGCTCATACTATGTTTTGTGCCGGTATATTTAGCCACTCGAGGCTGTCCCGGGGGGGCAAGGTGGAGGATTTAGTATGATACCGGTATGGCTGGGTGGGGGAAGTGTTCACGGTAGTGCCCGAGTGGCACACTTGTATTTACTATACTCGAGTAGACTATACAGTGCAGCGCCACAGTGGTTACCGAGACGGGTCGTTTTGTCAGTTGGGGATGGGAGGAGGGAACTTATTGTTTGTCCTTTTTTTTTTCTCTTTTTTTTTTTTTTGGTATATTTCTATAGAGGTATGATATGATAATATATTGTGGTGTTGTATTTTGGACTATCCATTAAGGGTCGCAATAGTTGGGTGGGGCTATTCTAGGTTATCATGAGTGTAGTGGGCGACGAACATACATATCGTACATACCCAAGTACAGTAGTATTCCGTACCGTACCGTAAAATTAAAAAAACTCTTGAGTATGATACAGTACCACTCTAAGTTACCTGATTAAATTTATCGTCAAAAACTATCACGTAAGCCCATGATTGGTTCCACCTATGGTCCGAGCAACATGTCAACAGAGCTCCGAGTAGTCTACTGTACCGGTACTGTAATCGAGTGCTGCTGCGGGAGTACCGAGATCCTACCGTATCATACATTAGAGAACTATACAAAAAGTCCGTTGGCGAAACGATCCTTACCAAGTTGGGAAACGATGTTTTTTTTTTTAGAATCACAACACACCAGTCAGTCAGTCAGAAGCGTTCAAACACACTTCACCACTCGCGCATCCAACTCCCTTCCACCTTCTCTGCCTTCCATGGAAGCCAGAAGTGCCCGGCGGCTGCGGTAGTTGATTAATCCACAAGCACGAGCCCGTCCAGTGCTGTGCAATCGAGCATCTCCGTGGAGAGAGAAGAGGAGAAGAAGGAGGGCCATTCCATACCCACCTACCATATCGTGTAACCTTGTCGGGGAGATATAACTGTCATGCCGGCCCCGAGAGAGAGAGAGAGAGAGAAAAAGTGTTGTGTTCCGGTCCGGCGACATTTCGCGGTTCGGTATGATACTACTAAATCTGGAACACACACGCGAAATTCCCCGATAACCTGTCATAGTAGAGTAGTAGTAGTAAGTCTACTACGCGCATGAATAAAACAAGTAAAACTCGCTGTTATGATACTTCCTCTCCTAAGAAAAAAGAAAGAAAGAAAACTCTTAGGCAGCAATCAATTTTTATGTTCTTCGGTCTGTCCGTCGGTCCGTCGGCGACCGAGAGTTCTTTTTCTTTTCGCCCTGATGTTCATAATAGCAACGCAACGCAACGCGAACACGTCGTAAGCAATTCGGATCTCGCCAAGAACCATTCAACCTTGATAAAAGGTATCATATCATACAGTACCGGTGCTCGTACGAGTACGAGTACTAGTACAGATGTGGTTTTGTTTGTGGGAAAAACCCGGTTTCATATTTTTATTTTTTTTCAGGTCCCATGATTGCTTTTCTTTTTTCTTTTTTCTTCTTTTCTTCTTTTCTTCTTTTCCTTAACCATACAATAGGAAAAAAGGAAGAAAAGAAAAAAACTTGATGGGGTCAGGTCAGTCAGTCAGTCAATCAGGCACCTATGACAGAGAACATACCCGTAGCGGTTATCGAGATGATGGCTTTTTTGCCCTATGATAGACAATCTATCGCTATGAGGTGTGTATAACAGGCACGCTATTAAGTCCGGGTTCCGTCGGGAGTGGGAATGAGTGCGGTAAGTCCGGAGTGTAACGAGTACTCGAGTACTTGTAGTTGTAGTTGTAATACCGTGCCCGTACTACGCGATACTGTAGTACTGGTACAGTACAGGACAGTGCCAGACTAGATTTTGTATCACGAGCCACACCCCCCGGGTCCCTCCCCCCGCTATTAAGGCCCGTTCGGCGCGCCAGGATTATCATTATAATATATATATATATATATATTTTGTTTTTCATTTTTCCCCTTCCCCATTTGCCAAAAACCTCATTTTTGCATAACAGCTCGGATGTCCTGGACGCTGGCTAGCGCGAGAACGGACAACACCACACCACCAACCGCTGCGATGAGGGAGAGAGGGAGAAGAGACGCCCACCGGAGGCCACGAGAAGTGAGTGGAGTGGGCTGTAACAAAAGTGCAATGTTAATTGCACGATTTTGCACAAAGAAGGAACGCAGCGAGTCGGTAGGTAGGTGGAGGGGAGGAAGGAAGGAAGGCCATTCATGGGCTGTGGAGTTAGCGGACTGAGTGGGTCGTCGTCCTAATTCTGGATGTTTGATCGGGGGGGGTCTGGAAGACTCCATTCACTGCTCCACTGCTCCACTGCTCCGCTCCTCAGGTTGTAAAAATAAAAATATTTAACTGAATGAATAAAAATAAGTCAAGGGTGAGAGAGAACACTGTATGGTAGGAATAAAAATAACCCCCCTTCCTCCCCATCGCTACCGTCGTTTCCACTTGTTTGCCCAATTTTACCGCGGTACCGTAGCGTACAGCCAAGTAAGCCGCTATAGTATGATGGATATCTATCTATATACGGGCACACACACTCACACACTCACACGCACACACACGGTGCGAGAAAAATTTCGGAAATTCCGGTAGAGTTAGCGGGGCATTCCTGCAACCACACCAAGTTTATTTTTGTTTGTGTACCCATCATCTTTTTATCTGGTACAATGAGAATTTTCACTCAAAGAACTACTCCACCCCCTCACTCACGATACTCTTCCCTTAGGTGGTGTGGCCAATCACAGCCCTCTATCCTAAGGCTTCATTCCCCCTGAGAGTTTAGGATGCTGGCCATAAAACCATCCTACTCACTCATCATGGTCTTCCAACCCTTATCCCTGGCCTTGCCTCACCTCCCATACTTTTCCTCTCCACTTGGAGGATCCAGGAGTACTACCAAGAGTCCAAGGGTCAACTCCCTCAGCCTTTTCCTACCAGGCTCCCCACAGGGAGTAACCCTCAACACTACCGTCCCAATGTTTGCTACTATCAGGCATGAAAGGAGATGCTCTAATGCCCTAATCAATGTTGAAAACAGAATCGTGGCCCGGGAAAGTACTTTCTCAGAGGTCAGACACGAACTGGGATGCATGAACATGTGCTAAGTACTTCTTACAGGGAACACAATAGCCCCAACTATAGCAGCCCCCAGCTAGAACTACACAGCTTCAGGACTATACTCTAAAAGATCTTTAGCAGCGAGGTTGTAGACGCAGCTGACACCAATGCCCTGGCCTTTCTGGCAGCAACAGCCTCATCCTGCTACCCATCGCAAGAAAGTCCTGTACTAGTATTCCAAATACTACAGTCTCCAGCCTCCTCCTCCCTGCTAACTGATGTAACCGAACCTATAGACCAGACCCAAGACATTGGTGTGTCCAAGACACAACTCACATAAGAAGTGGCGATGTTCCTGGGAAATGGGAAAAATATGGACAATACCGGGTTGGGGGACCATCAACATGCCCACAACTCAGACAAAGTACTGGGAAGCTCAGCTGCTCAGAGCGTACCAAGACAGGTACAGTTCTCCTCACCTTTAGCTACAGCAAGAGAGATCCCTGGGACCTCTTCTGGCAACATGACAGCCAGATCAATCCGCAATGAAATAACAGAGGCCAAATCTACACTAGAGGAGAAAGAAGAACTAGAACGCACAGTTACAGACGGCATCATGGTCAGATTCATCCACCACCTGAAAAAAGAGTTCCAGGAACAACTGTGAGCTATGGAGGTATGTCTTACCAGTAAGATAAGATAAAGGACCAGGCAGACTGGCGCAAACACTCCCCTCTCCTCTACTACTGCCCGCAGACAATCTAGAACCACAAACTCAACCCCAAACCCAACAGCTCTGATGCGAATTACCACACCACAGCCCCCCCCAAACGGATCCTAAAAAGGCCAAAGCCTAACCTGTCAGCAGAGACCAACCCCGGAAAAACTATGAACCCTATTGGAAGGTCTGCAAATACTACAACAAACTCTCCCTAACAAAAAGGAGCCCTGAAATAAACCTGAGCAGCCATTACTTCTATAGGAGTCAACATTGACAGTTTCCAGCTGGTCCTAACAAAGAAGAAACAACAAGAACCAGTACCAAGTATTGGAATGGTAGCTCCCTCAGTACCCTCCACCTCATACACCAGACAAAGGCTGCTCCTTATCAGGTCAGCTGAGAAAGGTTGCAGAGTAGGACCGGCAGGCCTCTCCCCAGCCAAAATCAAAGACACAGTCAATTCCGCATCCAGGATAAAATTCATATACACTGAGTTTAACAGAAATGACAATCTTGTTCTCACCACCATGAGGGACCTACCAGCTCAACCAGCCCTAAGTAATGTGGCAGCAATCACCAAAGCCCTAAATGGAATCAATGTGTTCAGTTTCAACACTACTACAGATACTCTGTCCATCAACATCGTGGTTAGCAGCATACCACTCAGCAACGAGAATTAGATAACCAAGGAATGGGACATAGATTCAAACAGGTAGGACAACCTGGAGAGAGAAATCTCTGAGTACAACCCCCAGGTAAGGCTGCTAGACCGACCTAAGTGGCTGCAATCCCTCACAGCGCTTAAGGCAGAAGGAAAAGTCAAGTCCTCAGTGATCGTAGTAGTTGAGGCAAACAACTGGGTTATAGAGGAGACAAGAAAATCCCACCTGAGCATGGCCATATTCAGCACGCAATGCATCTTCTGGAAGTATGTTAAGAAGGACTGATCTACCTACTATACCAGATGTCTACAATTTGGCCACCATGCAGTACACTACAGATTAGAGGCCATATACAAATACTGTGGAAGAAGATACCAGACAAAGGACCACAGCTGTGCGCAAGTATACTGCATAGC